ACTGCTTGAAACGTGAACGAGATATTTGCATTCAAACCATAATACCCAGCAAAAATATGGCCTTCATGTTAACCCCCGCCTTAAAGGAATAACGTTTCATGAAAAGCAAGCTAGGGTCCTCATGTTGTGTTCTTCCACTAAATATTTTACATTCGCAGTACCTCTTCCACTCTTAAGAACCCTTAAAGGTAAATAAGGATGACCGGGCATTATTCAACAATTTGGCAAAACGTTGAAGAGGGGTACCTAAGATGGACAACGTCCACCTATGAGCAATCATGCCCTACACGTTTTGAAGCCACCATACTTAATCGTTTTCCTCCGCCCATGAGAATAGGACTACTGTGCGCTTTCAATGTCTATGATATTTAGCGACTATATTACTCACTTTCTGTAGATAATTTCCAAGTTGCACTCGAGGATCTAAACCACTTAAAGGAAATAACAGGTACATCAAAGTTCTTTCTGATTGTTCTTTTGTGTTTATATATCCTTGTTAGTTTCCAAATTTTGGGGTTTTCTTTGTATACGTGGAAAATGTACATACCAAAGAAGCGAGTCGCTTTGTAACTTTAAAATCAATGCAGTCGTTTTCAAGATACACTTGTCTTCGAAGATTGAAAACAATTCAGCCACCAGTATGATCAATAATTTTTATTAGAAATACAAATCTTAAGAACAGATTGAAGATTTAATTATTAAGAGTAAGAGTAACGATACATCTTGAACACAAACGACTAACACACTTTCGTAATTGCGTCATTAGATAAAAATCCCAGAGTTTTACAAGAACTTGGTTTTGACCATGACACGTTGAGAGGTGAGAAAATATGGCAATAAAAGGTACTACATGAAACATTTTTCACGTATCCGCAATTTTGGAGCTAAGTTTATTGTAGAATTTATAATTATTCATATTTTTTTCCATTCGAAATGACTGGAAGTTTCGGGCTAACAAATTTATTTATAAAATAGTTCACTTAAAAAAAAACTAAACAATTTGAGCCTGTTCCATTATTTATGCCTATGGCATTAAACCATTTCTTGCTTTACAACTGAGTGTCGAAAGTGCATTCCAGGATTGCTTTGCTTTGCTTTGCTATGTTCTTCAATTGGTTTGAAGACATTCGCCACAAGCTCATCTAATCACAAACAAAACCATAGCCAATCACAGCCTGGTCATGTGCGTTTGCCCGCGCTTGTCACCGTTTTCTGGTACTTCGCATCGCGGGCTTATTGTTTTATTGTGTTAAAACATTGTTAACATTTATTGTGACCACTTTAGTTTGGTTTAACGACAGTCCACAAGTAAATAAGCTCAAAAAATGACTTTTCAATTCGTGTTTTGATTTCCTCAGCAAGAGCACAACTCCTCAAAGGAGAAGTCGAGCATGATAAAAATGACTTTAGTAAAGCGTTAAGTTGCTACACTGAAGGGATTGAATTAAAGTGCAAAGATGACGAATTGAACGCTCAGCTTTACCTCAGGAGGGCGCACTCGCATGGTCATCTGGGTGAGGTTACATGATTGTTTGTTTTCTGTTTTACTTTAGTGAGTTAAAATATGTAAGTTCAAAATGTAAAGAATATTTATATATTGTCCATTTCAATTGCTATATATTCCTTTAATTTCTATTTCTGTTAATTTGTTAATACATTATTTGATAATTTCGTTGTTCCCATCACCTGCCTGCTTGATTAAATATCATTATCATTCGATGCATTTTTTCTTCCTTTCCATTGGCCGAGAGCCCACCAGGTGACCTGCAAATAACTGCCTACAAATAATGGTCTGCTTGTGCGTAGTACCGTCTAAACGTGTTTTGCTGCAAATAATATTCTGCCCATGCGTAATTGAAACAACGTTCTCGGGTGAAAAATGGCAGATCGCTTCCCTGAGCTGTCAGGGAGTGATTAACATATGAAAACAAACTTGGTAATCGAATCATAAAACAATTATTGAACTCAGTTATCGCAAAATATAGTGATTTGTCAGTGTCTCGCAGATCAATTGATCTGCAAGACACTGACAAATCACGATATTTTGTTCAAACTCGTCCAATAATTCGTTATTCATGCGAGGTTCAGCCAAAAGGCTGAAGCAGTTGGCTTTTGATGGACAACCTTCCCATTCGTAAGCCACCCATAAACCATCATGCTTCATGCTTTTGTAAACCACCATACAACTGATATTTCCTCTCCCAACAGTGGTCTCCCCCAAGGTTCTGTCTTAGAACTCTTGTCGCTCAATATTTTCATCAATAACTTACTTTACTTCATGCAAGAGGCTCAGCTAGCAAATTACGCTTACGATAACCAGCTCTGATTCAGCTGTTGTTGGAAATGCTCTCAACGAGGAATATGCGATGGTGTGCGATAGGTTGCGAAATAATAGGATGATACTGTACCCTGAAAAATGCAAGGTTCTGTTTCTGTCCCGGTTCTGTCGCGTAAGCCCAATATCAAGCTGTCCTTGTTTGCTGAAGGAGTAAATATATCGATAGGAAGTGATTCACGTCAATTCACAAGATTCAAGTGCCTAAACCTAATACTACTCGCTTTGGCTTAAAATCAGTAAAATAATCAGTGGCCGTTACCTGGAACAACGTTTCTGAGACCATAAGATACAATTTTATCCTCTGAAAAAACTGTCAGTGTCCGCAACCTTAGGTTTTAGTTTATGTTTCTTTCAATATGTTAGAATTACTGTTATAGTTATAACTTGTAATTAAGTCTAATTTTTCTCGTTTTTCTTTTCTTCCTTTTTCATGAACTTTACTTGAATATTATTTATTTCGCGGCACCTTAACATACTTTATTGACCTTATTGCTTGAGGCCTAATCAGCCATATCAGCCCGAGAGGAAATAAAGTTATGCATGTATCTGAGGTCTAATCGTGTTCGCAAAAACATGCCCGCAAAGAAATCAAGACAGACCAGGGACTCCAGGGGCCTTGACCAGCCACCTTGCTAGGATCCACGTTGCATCTTCAGCAGGGCTCCCTGTCAACACAGAACCCTCAAACAACAACAATTGAGCAAAGTGCCCAACCACAAACTCAAAATTAACGTTATTTTGCACTAGAAGCTCAAGTCTAGCTAAGTGAAGGTGTCACCAGCCTTTCCCCTACTTTTGACGGCTGGCCGCCAGCAAAACCATTAGCAGATAGGCCGGTGTCTGGGTCATGTTATGTTTGTAATATGTGTGTACCTTAATTAAACATTTTACTTATTTTACTTATTTTAGACCCTCTGTGCGCTTCAAATGCCTCTGACGTTTACTGACTATATTATTCACTTTCTTAAGGTAATACTCACGAAGCACTTGAGGATCTAAACCGGGCAAAAGAAATCTGTCAGGCTAATGACACAGGTAAATTTAACTTCTGTCTAACGGTTGTCCATTTTGTACATATCTCTTTGCTTTTTATCAAATATTTGTTTTTGTGTTTGTTTACACGGAATATATTTATCAAACAAGCCTCCTCAACAAGGACTTGGCAACTTTCTTGGTAACTCATCATTTTCGAGATACAGTGGTCTCTTTGAAGACTGGAAACAAAATAACCCGCGTTTCTGACCAACTTTCATTTTGCTAAAACTAGACTCTACACAAATTAAGATTAAGAGTCACGATGTATCCTGAACAGAAAAGGCTAATACAGAGTTTTCTTGCATCTAGTTGGAAAACCGAGCACTTCACTAGAAATGGATCTTTGGAATGTCCTATTGAGAGGTGAGGAAAAATGCTAACGTAAAGTAATGCGTTCAATGATATTTTGCAGTTTGCGGTTTTCAATAACCGGATCATAGGGAATCCTTTTTTCCTATTCGGAATAATCCACATTTTCAGGCCACTGGCAAAGACTAACGCAAAAAGCAAAATAATTAGTCCGACATTCTACAGCACAGCGTGCGGAATCGAGGAACACAAAACTAGATACAGATCCTAGCCAATCACTGGAAAATTTCAGCATGGTAACAAAATAGACATTAAAATTCACAAAGTGAACAGAACATTTTCTATTTTCGTTTTCACATTTTCCATTTTTTCTTAATTATAGTTATAGCTTTACGTTTCTGTTATATTTTCCTTTAGCTGGATTCATTTAACTTCATATTAGTTTGCAGTTTTGCTACTTTTGCAGTTTTGCTATTTTTATTGGTTAAATTTTCACAGAATCCGGCGTCGACGATCATTCTAGGTTTTTCGTTTCTTCTGCCATTTCGGCTTTATTTCAATTTCTGACAAAATTGCAGACAGGCAACGGGAACGGAAACGTTGAGATTTCCACAGACAGATCAGATACTAAGCTTGGTTGTCACAAGAAAATGTAATGATCTTCTCCTCTTACTAAAAGTATTTCCTTAATTCTCGGTACGGGTACATGTCATAAGTCAACATAACGTTTGCAGGCCGTTTCAAAACTATCGAATCGTTAACAATTCAGCTAGTTGTAAAGCGTAATCCAGAATAACTTTGGCGTTGCTTGTCTCCACTCTGTGACTGGTTTAAAAAAAGGGGCGTCACCCGCTTGACCAATCAGATCCAAAACTAATCGTCACGAGGCTTTTCCGCACTTTGCACGCTCAAGTGATTTCGCCCGTGTTGATATTGGCGATCTGTTGCGTTAACATTTGTTGTGATTCCTCTAGTTTTGATTCACGCGACAGTCATGCCTCAGTTGTAAACAGCGAAACAATATTTAAAAGTTCCACTAATTACTAATCGTTTTGCGTTTCGTTTCCCGCAAAAACAGCGCAAGTTTACCTAGAGCTAGGATATGTTGAGCACGACAAAGGAGAAATCCAAAATGCGTTAAGTTTCTATACTCAAGTGATTGATGTCAAGTGTAAAGACGACAAGCTGAACGCCCTGTTTTACTTCAAAAGGTGGAAATTGCATTTTCATCTGGGTGAGTCGGTTATTTGTTTTCCAGTTTAACTTAATGAGTTAAAATAATTAGCTTCAGAATGTAAATCGTCCATTTTGATATTTACTTCTGAGAATTTGGTAATACATCATTTGATGATTTTCGTTATTCCCATCTTGATTATATATAAATGCTGTACTGAGAAACTAGTTCTCCATCACATCTTTTAACCGAAGTGGCGTTAACACCAATTTCACGAAACACCAAAAGCTTACAAAGAGCTAAGAGATGCTGAGTTAGGCAAAGTAGAATTCCAAAATGCCTTAAGTTTCTACACTTAAGGCATTAATGTCAAGTGTAAAGATGATCATCTGAACCCCCAGCTTTACCACGCCAGGTCCGACTCGTATTTTTCTCTTAGTGAGTCGGTTATTTGTTGTCCGCTTTAACCTAGCGAGTTAAAATAATTTAAAAGTTGAGAATGTAAGTCGTACATTTTGATTACCGTACACTTCCTTCATAATAATCTACTTCTGAGAATTTGGTAATACATCATTTGATGATTTTCGTTATTCCCATCACCCGTCTGTTTGATTATATATAAATACTGTAATGACAAATTAGGGACCGTTCATTTTTTAAGGGAAAGGGGGGGGCTGGTGGGATTTGGGAGAGTGTCAGTGGGAAATTGAATGACCCCCCCCAGTTTGCCAATTTTTTCACATGACCCCCCTTCAAAAGGAATTTTTTGGGGGATGACCCCCCCCCCAACCTGGCCACCTCAAAAAAAAGTTACATCTGGTATTTTATAAATTAATACGTTCAAATGCCACTACACATATCTTAATGTCATATTAACTGTTACATTTCACTTGACAAGTGAATATTTACAAATCTATAAAGAAAGCTGTTTTGCACACATCTCATCTAAATTTCTCAAAAGAATGAAAAGTCAATTTCAGATCTCCTAGTTATTGCTCGTCCTGAGCGTGTTGTAACTGGCCGCTCGTCTGCATCTTCCTCGTCTGCAGCAATGAATGCTAGGATGACATCATTGAAGTCATCTTCCTCAGGGTCACTGTCCTCACTCTCGTACTCTTCATTCATACTATCACTTGCCCCACTGCTATCACCCCTGTTGTTGTAATACATGTCCATCATGAAGGAAGCTCTCTCAAAGATGCGAAAGGATGGTGAAAGCGATGAATCCTTAAAAAAGCGATTTACTGCTGAACGATCAAGGCAATTCGA